AAAAAAGAGAGAGAGAGAGACTGAGCATACATTAACATTATAGAACTGACGTGTCACAAAATAATACTTACATTATACAAGTCATTGAGATCTCTCCATCCAGTCGAGACACCAAGCTCATAACCAAGGAACTGATGATAGTAATCATCAATCTCATCATAGTAATCTTTGAAATTGAACAGACCTCTTATTGGGTAAAGCTCAGCAGATTCAATGACATTCCTCAATGCATCAGGACCCATATACATAAGCACCTTTAAATTACAAGTATCGAATACAAATATATTAATAAGTACGAAAATTCAAAATATTCTAAAACAACAAGCAGGATAATGCAATTAAACGGGAAAGGAGCAGATCCACTAAACTTCCAACAATTTATACAGTTCACAACTACATTGCTACAGAAATAAACCAAAAGAAGTCAGAAAATTATTATCAGACCTCATTTGCATCTTTGAAACATTCAGTGTCACTCTTTTGAGGCCATTTCACCCTCCAACACCTGAATTCAACCAAATGAAAGCAAAATTGCTGAGTTCTCACATAGTAACCTTATGATTTATTATGGGCAAAAACAAAACCTTTCTTTCCCCAAGCGCCTTGCAATTTCTTCAGCTAAGGCTTGACCAGGTGGATCATTATCCGTGGCAAGAATAATGCGAGATGCCTTAACAACATCCAAGAAATTAAAATGCATCACTTTGATCCACTTGCCTTCGCAATGAAAAGTATAATTACAATAGAAAAAAGATCGATATAATGTACCTTATCTGTATACTCTTTGCAGTTCCATAGAAATTGAAACTTGGTGTCCTAGCTTAAAAGAAGTACCAAGAGTTAGAAAAACTCAGAGACCAGCCTTACCAGGAAACATAATACTTAATAACATAATGATGACTCTTTCTGCTCAACTACTATACAATAACAAGAAATTAATCAAAGGCTTCTGATATCTAAATGAGAGTTCATTAAAAAATATAAAACGGGTCTCAAATAATAAGATGAGTATAAACAGTACCGCATCTTCAGAGGGTAATGCCTTATTCGAGACTTTTGCAGGAGCACCATCAGGGACACTCACACAGTTTCTGAAGCCAGCTTCTTCCATTGAGAGTTTGTCAATTTCACCTTCAACCTAGAAAGAACAAACAGAATATAAGTTGTTCCTAGTTTGTTAGTATGATTTAATGAAGCGAGCCGAGGAGAGGTAATTACAATGATGATATCACTTGATTGCTTTATATCATCAAGTCCATAAAAGATTCTTTCAGTATTGGCTTCCTGCATCACCAGCAGAACATTAAGAGATCCACAGTGATAAATCGTCAAATAACATCTACACATCAAAGACAAGCTTTGTTGCAAATTTTACTTCTACTAGGGAGAATATCTTAAATTCAAAAAGAAGGATGAATTTCCTAAACATCAGCCATGAACAAAAATTATGAATTAAATGTACCTGCCAGAATTTTTTGGTGATATCACGATATTTGCAGCTTACAAGCTCTCCATTCCTCCAGTAAGTAAAAGCAATAGCAATCTTCCAGAAAAAATCATCATGAGAAACTAGTCCAGCAAATTCAACTGCTATATTATTTTCCTCAGGAGATCATGACTCGTAAGTCATTTCTTTCAAATTATTGAAAGGCATATTACCCAGCTAATGTCAACATTTAGCATTATTTTACTATTAAGACAGTCCCCATTATAGTACATAAAATTATATACAAATGTGCACCATCATGCGCAATCCACTCACATGTTCTCCACTTTTTTTCTGCATGACACCATTTCTTCGTAATGTATCTCCAGATATCAACCGCTCAGCAAAATATCCAAGTAGCTAAAAAAAACAAAACAATTGAAGAAACCTATCGGTAATATGGATTTCAAGAACTTTTAAAGTCCAACAGAAAAATCTAGTCAAAGTGTAATTTCTCAGGTAGACCATAAAAATATGTTCTACGTAGTTGTTTTCTGATCAATTCGAAGAATAGCCTTTGACGGTCTAATAGTAACAAATACCTCATTACACAACGGCTCTAATTCCAAACTCTCCTCAGTGATTTTTCTAGGTGGTTGCTTGACTTTCGTGATTTCATTCATTTTTGCATAAGTCGATGATACACCTGCATATGCCTAAAACCAAAGTAGCATGACAAATGAAAATAGCATCGATAGTCCAACTTTTAGATTTTAGTAAAATTTAATATGAAAACTTACTCGGGTTGAGCCTGTCCACCCACATTTACCTCGAAAGCAAATCCAAACTGCTGACCTCCTACAGCATTAACAATGCATAACCACAAAGGCAATGAAAATAAAATTAAGACGCATCAGAAAAATTGACAAACAAATTATGGAGAAACAATATAGGACTTACCCGTCCGGTTCAATACTAAGAGATAAGCTCTTCTCCTCTGATTCCCCACCCTTACACTACAAAGCCAAATATGCCCGTGACTTTTAACAGAATGAGAATAAAATCACATATCAGAGTAAGAACATGTCCTCAAAATAAAATGAAGAAATAAGGGAAAAAAACTGCTTGTACAATTTCTACGATGTGAATCAACAAATGAAGTTACTCATCAAAAACCAATTTCAGCAATAATTAAGCGTTCACACATGCAACAAAGTCGTTAACTCATACCACAAAAGCCAGAGCAAAAGAAAGTAACTTGCTTCCTCAATTAATGTCAATAATGCAACTCAACTACTCAAGCTAGGAAGAAAAGGTGAAAAATTGAACGAGGAACCACATACTCTTGGACAAATCAAGCTATTGAACTGCCCTGGCAAACAAGGTTTTGGGTCAATTCCAATGTCATGCAACTTTTGCCGTAATATGATAAGTTGTTCTTCATCTACAAACTGATTCTCCACGGTCCCTATACCGGCACCAGATACTACACATTCAACCCGAAATATTACATTCAACTCTGCATTCCAATATATCACACGCGAATTTTATATAAAAGTGAACGCCAAAAGGAAACTAAAATAGAACACAAACTCGGTCTAGAAATGGGCATGGCTGGGCTGTAACTATATCCATAGGCCTTCTGATAAATTGCTGGCAAGTGTCTCGTATTGGCGAAAAACGAGACATTTTTCCTGCTATTGGAGTGAAAACAGCGCGCCTGCGAACAAGAATGGAGCGGGAGCACGCGCGCGTGGGCAGCGGGAGCTGGGGAAGGCTTGAGTAGCAGAAAATCCTTGGAGGCCATGGAAATAGCTCTGCTACAATTTGAGTAAGGGTTCAGGAATAGCTTCAGCTTCGGTGAAAGAGGCATGGCTACTCTCTCTCAGAATTTTTTTTTTTTTTTTTTTCTAGATTTTTTAATGGAGAGTGGGAAGAGAAAGAGGGCTTTCAACTTCCATGAAGAGAAGAAAGGGTTTTAGGGAGGGAGGGAAGGAGAAGTATTGTGCCCGCCTATATTCCATTGGCACTTTGGCACAATTTCCCCACTTCATTTATTTATTTATTTATTTTTTTGACTGGAAAAGAACTTATTATTAAAATATCAATGTACAATGTCAAAAGAAATAAGTTCTTTAAATCAAAGAGGAAAATCATCCACCTTCCATAAGAAAGGGGAGTTCGAGAAAGAAGCAAATTTAGCAATAGCATGAGCAACATTATTGGCCGATCGACGCATATGTTGTAATCGACTAGATACTGCCGCTTTAGACATTAGACCATCTATCTCTTTTGCCCAAGAGCGAATATAGCCATGAGTCTCTTTGTAGTCAGTAACTGCTTGTACCGCCAACAGAGAGTTTGTGAAAATAAAGATAGGAGCTTGGTGCAACACTCCACATTTTTCCAACCCTTCTTTAATCGCCAATAGCTCACAATGAACAACAGAACCCGGATTCATGACTGGCATACCAAAAGCAAATAGAGCATTACCTTGATCGTCCCGAGAAATACCACCGATCCCAAATCTATCGTCCTTCATAGTAACACTTGCGTCAACATCGATGCGAATTGAGTGTTTGGGAGGTGGACTCCAAATGTGGGGAGTTGGACGACCTTCATTACCTTGAGTGACCCCCGAACCGCCAATGGATATTTGGAAGTTTCGTTTCAAGTTGTCAGCTCCAGCTACACACTTTAGCTCTTCATTAATATTTGGGCCATGAATTACTCTTTGCCTCTCTTTCCAAATTAACCAGGCATACAATGAAAAATTTTCAAATTCTGGAGTTGACAAGTTTTGTTTCATCCACAGGCATAAATCCATAGAAGAGCTACTTTTTGTCTTTTTAACTAACGGGTAAAAGTTAGTATTTTTCCAAAGGGGCACCACCTGGGGACAGAAAAAAATAGAATGGAGGGTTGAATCGAGAGGAGAATTGCACAATTGACATCCGCTTGATGAGGTGATATGATGTTTAGCTAAATTTAAAGCCGAAGGAATAAAATCATTCGCTAAACGCCACCAAAAAGTACGTACCTTTAACGGAATGTTTAAGGCCCACAGGAATTTCCACCATTTTCGGATCCGATTATCAGATTGATTTGCAGGAGGATCAAAAAACCCCATTTCAACTTTGTAGCCCTCTTTAACTGAGTAATTTCCTTTTCCGTCAGAGCACCAATACCGATCGTCCTTATCAGGGGAATTCGGGATATTGATTTTAAAGATTTCTTCAGCAATAAAAGGTGGGAAGAGATCAACAATGAGATTCTCATTCCATGTATCTTCACTGATGAGATCATGTACTTTATTAACCTGTGGGAAATTGTGGTGGACAAACGAAAAGCACCTGTGTAATGAAGGAAGCCAAATATCCTGGAAGATATCTACACTCCGGCCATCACCAATCTTCCAAGCTGATCCTTTTGTAATTATATCTCTGCTCCATGTCAATGATCTCCAGCAAAAAGACGGATTACCCAAAGGAGCTGACATTACGTCTGAGTGTCTGAAATACCGAGCTTTTAGGACCCTTGCCAAAAGAGAATTCAGGACTTTTTAATATACGCCATACCTGCTTCGCTAGCAAAGCTTTATTGAAAGCAGAGAGATGTCGAAATCCCATACCTCCTAGGCATTTAGGTTTACATAGAGTTTCCCAACGGGCACCAATGCATTTTCTTTGACCCTCTGTCAGTCCCCCACCAAAAGTTAGCACAATCTCGCTCAATTTCTTCACACAAAGAATTAGGAATTCGAAAGCACGACATGGCATACGTTGGGATTGACTGAAGAACTGATTGTAACAGCACTGTTCGACCACCCTCGAAAAAATATTTATGGCTCCAACTTTGAATTCGATGAGCAACTCTCTCTTTGAGATAGCCAAACCGGGTTCGCTTACTTCTGACTGAAAAGGTAGGAAGGCCCAAGTAAATCTCGTGACGTTGAGCAATCGGAATTTTTAAGATGTTTTTTACTGCAGCTACCAATTTCGGGGAAGTATTCGGGCTGAAGGAAAGAGATGATTTCGCAAAGTTAATGACCTGACCAGACGCTTGTTCGTACAGGTGCAAAAGATTTTGAATAGTGTCAGCGTCCTGCGTCTCAGCTCTAAAGAAAATCAAACTGTCGTCTGCAAAAAAAAAGATGCGATATACTGGGAGAGTTATTTGCAATACGAATACCTCGCAAACATTTATTACTTTCAGCCACTAAAAGTAGATGTGAGAGGCCTTGAGAAACCAAGGCAAACAAATACGGCGACAGTGGGTCTCCTTGACGGATGCTTCGTTGAGGAGTTAAAGGCCCGAACCTGTTTTGGTTGAAGGTTAAGAAATAAGAGACTGACCGGACACACATCATGATTTTGTTAATCCATCTGTTGCTGAAACCCATTTGTCCCATGATTCCTTCTAAGAAATTCCATTCCACACGGTCATAAGCTTTACTCATGTCCAGTTTAAGAGATGTGTATCCCCTTTTACTTTGACGATGGTTATGGAGCCAATGCATAATTTCAAATCCCAAAATGATATTATCAGTGATCAACCTTCCTGGGATGAAAGCACTTTGAAAATCATTAATAACAGACGACAAAATTCTCGGAACCGATTATTCAAAGTTCTAGCAACAATTTTATAAAGAAAATACAAAGACTAATCGGACGATATTCTGAAATGGAGACTGGGTGAGCCGTTTTAGGGACTAGTGTAATAATAGTTTCATTCCAAGCTTTTTATATCTGCATCATCATTAAGAACCTTCAACACTTCATTACACACGTCCTGGCCAACAATATTCCAAAAGCGTTGATAAAATAGACCCGGAAAACCATCCATGACTGGGGCTTGCTCCGGACCCAGATCGAAAGTTGTCTTCTTGACTTCTTCTGCAGAGAATGGGCTACACATATATTGATTCATACTGTCAGTAACTTTAGGAGGCACTTCGTCAGTAATAGCCCTGATACTATCCTCTGAGGGATTAGTTGACTGAAAAAGAGAGGCAAAGTAATCCGAAATTATTTCCATCATTCCATCTCCGTTTGTACAGATAGACCCTTGAGAATTAAGAAGGCCCTTAATATAATTCCTCGATTTACATCGCGATGCTTGAGCATGGGAAAATTTTGAATTTTTATCTCCCTGCTTAAGCCACGTGATCCTGCTTCTTTGTCGCCAATAAGTTTCTTCTTGGATGGTAAGTTTGTCTATTTACGCCTCCAATTCTTGAATACGCCTAAAGTTGGCTTCCCACTGATTTGATGTTGACAGCAAATTGAGTTCATCCCTTCTCTGTTTAATATTCTTTGAGAGTTCATCCTTTCTTTGTTTAATATTCTCTGTTTAATATTCTCTGTTTATTATTATATATTGAAGTTGTTAAACATAAAAGTCATTGGGAGACTAGAGTTCAACTCTGGAAAGATTGGAAAAATAATTAACTAGAAAAACGAGTCCTTATCTCATGCAGGTAAGGAAGTACTTATAAACTCTGTTCTTGTTGCTCTCCCGGTGTATGCCATGAGCTGCTTTCTTCTGCCCAAATCTCTAGTGCAGAAAATTTCTCAAAGGATGGCCAACTTCTGGTGGAACAAGGGTGTAGCAGGCAAAAAGGCAATCCATTGGAAATCCTAGAAGTCAGTCACATTCCCAAAAGAGAAAGGAGGACTTGGGTTCAAGGACATTAGATCTCTCAACAAAGCTTTGATTCACAAGCAACTGTGGAGGTTACTCACCAACACAAACTCTCTATCCAGCAAGATCCTCAAAGCCAAATATTTTCACAAGGCTAGCTTCTTCAAGGTGCAGAAATCAGCCTCAAGTTCATGGATGTAGAACAACTGGCTTGAAGTGAGAAGATTTTCAGGACAGAGCTAGATTCAAGATTAACAAAGGCAACTTAGTCCACATCTGGGACAATCCTTGGATACCTGGTGTCCCCAAATTCATGCCCCAGAAGCTCCCCTTCTCCTCTCCCAATCTACTGAAAGTCAAGGATCTTTAGACAACACGAGCAGAAGCTGGAATATGGAACAACTGAGGACCAATTTCACTCATTTAGATATGCAAGCAATCTTGAAAATTAAAGGCATGGATACTGGAAAAGCAGATAACCTTATCTGGGAAGATGGACCCTAATCTAAATTATCGGTTAAATCTTCCTATGCTAGACTGATTGAGAAAGCTTGGAGTAAGATGGATCTCCCTGAAGGCAGCAAAAGCTCTTACATTTCAATCAAAGTCATAAAAGATTCTGGAGACTCAAAATCAAAGGTAAAATCAAGCATTTCATATGGCCCTGCTATAATAACACACTGCATGCCAACAACGATATCATAAGCAGGGGTGTTGAAGTTGACATCATTTGTGGCCGATGTGGAGAAGAAGCGGAAACACCTGAACATCTGTTTTTACAATGCCCTGTTGCTAAAATGGTATGGAATTATGCCCCTATCTCTTGGGAGGGCATTCAGCAAAAATCCAATCGCTTCAAAGACTGGTGGGATGCCATCTGCCCTCTTCCATCCACAGCCATCTCAGAAGACAGAATCCAACCCACCGCATACCTACTTTGGTGGTTGTGGAAGACAGGAATCTATGGGTGTTTAAAAAAATACGAAGAGATGGGAAAGCCGTGGTGGACATTGTTGTGGCTGAATGGAACGAATTTTCTTCCATCTCATAGCCATGTTTTGTTGTTTCTGTTGTAAGATTAGTATGCTTTGTCTGTAATTATTTTATGTTGGTAGGTCCTGTTTTTCCTTTTGGGTCTAGTCTCAGAGGGTTCGGTTTTTGTTTTGGCGCCCTCTGATCTTTTGATTGGGTGCTGCTAGGCCTTTGCTGCAGTGGTAGCCCCTTTTTGCC